GGATGGATGGATGGATGGATGGATGGATGGATGGATGGATGGATGAGATTTTTACAGTTTTTTTAAATATTATTGAGCTGACTACCCACTCACTCTAGTTTACCGCATTTGTCCAATAGAATTTCAGAAATATGAAAAATGTTTTTTTCCTAAATTTAATAAAATGTTTTTAATAAAACATTTTTATAAAACGTCTCATAAATTAAACAGACTGAACTTATGAACATGCATGGAAAGCGAGTCCAGCAGAAGACCAGCTGCAGCTGCCCCAGGCTGGAAGAAGCTGCACATATTGTCAGATAAAACCTGTCCGGTTTCTATTTGCAGGCTGAAGAGCCCCGAGTGTCAGAGATAACGAGACACAAACACTCGAGTTCGTCACAGAACACTCTGCCAATCAGAAGATCACTTTGAAACTGCAGCAAAGCATCACTGCTTCTTTTAAACATGTTTCCTCACAGCTCAGACTGATTAGCGTTACCATGGTGACAGATTAAAACAACGATGCAGCGCCAGTGAAACTCTGACTCTAGTGCTGCTTCAATAAAAGCTACAAAACACAAAGTTCAGAGATGGGACGTCTTTGAAAGGAAGAAGAGCTCCTGCATGGAAGTCTGTCAAGACTAGATCTGGTTATCTCCTCCGTTACTTCAAATATTCCACTTCAGACAGCGTCACACGTTAATGCAGCAGCAGACACGTTACCAAAAAGCAGCACTATGTTTACTGCCTCATGCCACTTCACCAATTAAATACTTACACAAGAACAACTTTATCGCTCATAAAAGCATTTATTAACTGAACCAAACAAGACGTGACAATTATTGCCCAAGTTAGAGCTCGGAGTATGTGTTGGGGAATATGATCAGCTACCACCACACTAAATGTTGTTTCAGCATCTGTAAAATTGACAGTTTGATTTTTTTATTTGTTAAATTTGCCTCGTTGTGGCAGCCTTGGCTCGATCTTTTGTAGATGAACATCCAATAATTACATTTTGAGAGTTTCAATAAAATTATTCTAGTTTTTCATGAGATATTTTGCTAACAGCTCAATGAACGCACAGACACAAACAAATCCATACATTTTTGGTGACAGACAATAAAAAAGAAAATACCTATTGAATGCAAAGCATGCTGGGTAGTTTATCAATTCAGCTTAAAGAATCTCTTGGGTATTACAGTTGACTGAACTGAACATTTAAAATCTGTGAGTAAAAATTAAACAAATATTACACAATCTATTTCACCCCACATTCTGTTGCATCATGTTTTGTTTCATTTACAGATTTCTTTTAACCTTTTATAAAAAAAATGTGATTTTATGTTTAAAATTTGTGAACAGTGTTTTTTTAATACTGACCAACAATGTTTTTTTCTGTCAGCAAAATATCTCATGAACTACTAGACAAATTTGAAAGAGTTTTTGTAATCACCGGATCTACAACCAATTCAAGATGGCCGCCACAGCTAACTGACTTTAAAAAGTCACATTTGAGATAGTGATCTAAAATCTGGAGTTGTGGTAGCTAAGTCACAACACAAACTCCAAGTGCTACTCATAGTGTGAGATATTTCCTTAAAACCTTGACATCAGCTGTTGAGTCAACCTTGTTTGTTAGCAAAATATCTCCTGCTTGATGTAATTTATTTAATTTTTCAAAAAGTATTCAATGGCAATATATCCACAATTGATCAACATTTAGCATCAACCCAGTTAAAGATGGTTGCCACATCTAACAGAAATTAGGCAACAAAAAATAGCAAGAACTTGGTCAATTTATCAAATATTTGATGTGTTGGTAGATGAGAGTCATCCTCAAAATATTTGAGTGAATGACATTGTGGATCATTTTATTTTCAAGTTTTGAACACAACTGCTACAACATTGTGAATCCTTATAAGATTATTTTAGTTTTAAAACAGGCAGGAACGAATAAGCAAGCCTAAAGAAAGTCTTGGCCTTTAACTCTAATTGTCAGAGGAGATGATCTCAAGCAGCAATGAGGGTACAGTCAAGTTTACACGAAGAGCTAGATCAGTGGCTATCAGCAAGCAGATAAGAACTGAATCTCTGCTATTCCTAAAATGGACTGTAACAGCCAAAGGTCCTGAATCTGCCCTCATGGTGCATTCAGGGACAAATTTAGTTCAGTAGCTGGTTTGTCCTATCAGATAATTCCTTATTTGGTCCACAAGGAGCATTCATAAATGTCTACAAGCTGCGTGAAGGCACAGTTCTTCATCAGCATCAACAAGAAAGCACTGTCGTCTGTGTTCTTCTGACTGCTGTCCAACTACATCAACCACCATGGGTGATGGTCTAATGGCCGAGTTTGGAAAGGCTGCTCCTTTCCTGAGGAAGTCTGATAAGGAGCGTCTGGAGGCTCAGACCAGACCTTTTGACATCAAGACCGAATGTTTTGTTGTAGACGATAAAGTGGAATATGTGAAAGGGCAAATACTCAGCAAAGAAGGAGGGATGGCAAACGTAAAGAAAGAGGATGGGAACACGGTGACGGTAAAAGAGGCTAATGTTCACCCCCAGAACCCGCCAAAGTTTGATAAAATTGAAGACATGGCGATGTTCACTTTCCTGCATGAGCCTGCAGTGCTGTTTAACCTTAAAGAGCGTTATGCTGCATGGATGATTTACACCTACTCTGGGCTCTTCTGCGTTACTGTCAACCCGTACAAGTGGCTTCCTGTCTACGACTCTGAGGTGGTGGCAGCCTACAGGGGAAAGAAGCGGAGTGAAGCTCCCCCCCACATTTTTTCCATCTCGGATAATGCCTACCAGTACATGTTGACTGACAGGGAAAACCAGTCTGTCCTCATCACCGGAGAATCCGGAGCGGGAAAGACGGTGAACACCAAGAGAGTCATCCAGTACTTTGCCAGCATTGCTGCAGTTGGTGGTGCAGTCAAGAAAGACAGCAGCAAGGGTACGCTGGAGGATCAAATCATCCAGGCAAACCCAGCTCTTGAGGCCTTTGGAAATGCCAAAACTGTGAGAAATGATAACTCGTCTCGTTTTGGAAAATTTATTCGCATTCATTTCGGCACAAGTGGTAAACTGTCATCTGCTGACATTGAGACGTACCTTCTGGAGAAGTCCCGTGTCACCTTTCAACTAAAGGCTGAAAGGAACTACCACATCTTCTACCAGATTCTGTCTAATCAGAAGCCAGAGCTGCTGGACCTTCTGCTGATCACCAACAATCCATATGACTACTCCTACATCTCCCAGGGAGAAGTGTCAGTCGCCTCCATCAATGATTCTGAGGAGCTGATGGCCACAGACAGCGCCTTTGATGTTCTTGGTTTCACCGCAGAAGAGAAGATGGGTGTCTACAAACTGATAGGTGCCATCATGCACTATGGCAACATGAAGTTTAAACAAAAGCAGCGTGAAGAGCAGGGTGAACCTGATGGGACGGAGGCTGCTGATAAATCAGCTTACCTAATGGGGCTGAACTCTGCTGACCTCATCAAAGGGCTGTGCCATCCCAGGGTCAAGGTAGGAAATGAATATGTCACCAAGGGCCAAAGTGTGGACCAAGTTTATTACGCCATTGGTGCACTGGCCAAGTCAGTGTATGAGAAGATGTTCAATTGGATGGTGGTGAGAATCAATCAATCTCTGGACACTAAGCAGCACCGTCAGTACTTTATAGGAGTTCTGGACATCGCTGGATTTGAGATCTTTGATTTTAACACCTTCGAGCAGCTGTGCATCAATTACACCAATGAGAAGCTGCAACAGTTTTTCAATCATCACATGTTCGTTCTAGAGCAAGAAGAGTATAAAAAAGAGGGGATCGAATGGGAGTTCATTGACTTTGGGATGGACTTGCAGGCCTGCATTGACCTGATTGAAAAGCCTCTGGGAATTCTTTCCATTCTAGAGGAAGAATGTATGTTTCCCAAAGCCAGTGACCAAACCTTCAAGGCCAAGCTCTATGATAATCATCTGGGCAAAAACAAGATGTTTGAGAAGCCGAGGGCAGCCAAAGGGAAAGCAGAGGCACATTTTGCCCTGGTTCACTATGCTGGTACAGTGGACTACAACATCGGAAACTGGCTGGTCAAAAACAAAGACCCTCTGAATGAAACAGTGGTTGGCCTTTACCAGAAGTCTTCTCTGAAACTGCTAAGTCTACTGTTTTCAACTTATGCAGGATCTGATAGTGCAGACAAAGGTGGCAAAGGAGCCAAGAAAAAGGGTTCTTCATTTCAGACAGTATCTGCTCTTCACAGAGAAAACCTGAACAAGCTGATGACCAACTTGAAGACCACTCATCCTCATTTTGTCCGCTGTCTGATTCCCAATGAGAGGAAAACTCCAGGGGTCATGGATAACTGCCTAGTAATGCACCAGCTGCGATGCAATGGTGTCCTGGAAGGCATCAGGATCTGCAGAAAAGGCTTCCCAAACAGGGTGCTTTATGGTGACTTTAAGCAGCGGTACAGAATCCTGAACGCCTCTGCCATCCCAGAGGGTCAGTTCATGGACTGTAAGAAAAGTGCAGAAAAGCTGTTGGGATCACTGGATATTGACCACACACAGTATAAGTTTGGCCACACAAAGGTCTTCTTCAAAGCCGGGTTGCTGGGAACACTTGAGGAGATGCGAGATGAGCAACTCTCTCGAATCATAACCAGGCTCCAAGCTAATGCCAGAGGACTCCTCATGAGGGAGAAGTTTGCCAAGCTGGTGGAACGCCGGGATGCCCTGATGGTCATCCAGTGGAACCTCCGATCTTTTCTAGGTGTGAAGAACTGGCCCTGGATGAAACTCTTCTTCAAGATAAAACCCCTATTAAAGAGCGCTGAGGCTGAAAAAGAAATGGCCAACATGAAAGATGAATTCAACAAGCTGAAGGAAGCTCTGGAGAAATCAGAAGCCCGGCGGAAGGAACTAGAGGAGAAAATAGTGACTCTTCTCCAAGAGAAGAATGATTTAACTTTACAGATTCAGTCTGAGCAGGACACATTGACTGATGCTGAGGAACGCTGTGAGCAGCTTATTAAGAGCAAGATCCAACTGGAGGCCAAGCTGAAGGAGATGAGTGAAAGACTGGAGGATGAGGAGGAGCTGAACGCAGATCTTACAGCAAAGAAACGCAAGCTTGAAGATGAGTGCAGTGAGCTAAAGAAAGATATTGATGACTTGGAGTTAACACTGGCCAAGGTGGAAAAGGAGAAGCATGCTACAGAGAACAAGGTGAAAAACTTGGTTGAAGAGATGGCTTCTCAGGATGAGAACATCCTGAAGCTGACCAAGGAAAAAAGGGCACTGCAGGAGGCCCACCAGCAGACACTGGATGACCTGCAGAGTGAGGAGGACAAAGCCAACAGTCTGACCAAAGCTAAAGCTAAACTGGAACAGCAGGTGGACGATCTTGAGGGCTCACTTGAGCAAGAGAAGAAAGTCAGGATGGACCTGGAGCGCTCCAAGAGGAAGTTTGAGGGGGACCTGAAACTGACCCAGGAGACACTGATGGACTTGGAGAATGACAAGCAGCAGCTGGACGAAAAACTCAAAAAGAAAGATTTTGAGATCAGCCATATAAACTCAAGACTGGAGGATGAGCAGGTTGCCTCGGTTCAGCTTCAGAAGAAGCTGAAGGAGAACCAGGCAAGAATCGAGGAGCTGGAAGAGGAGCTGGATGCAGAGCGTGCAGCCCGAGCAAAAGTGGAGAAGCAGCGCTCAGATCTTTCCCGTGAGCTGGAGGACATCAGTGAGCGTCTGGAAGAAGCAGGTGGAGCCACGTCTACTCAGGTCGAGCTTAACAAAAAGAGAGATGCTGAATTTCAGAAGCTGCGCCGAGAACTGGAGGAGTCAACCCTCCAACATGAAGCGACCGCTGCCTCTTTGAGAAAGAAACATGCAGACAGCGTGGCTGAACTGGGAGAGCAAATAGATAACCTGCAGCGGGTGAAACAGAAACTGGAGAAGGAGAAGACAGAGCTGAAACTGGAGCTGGACGACTTATCCTCCAACCTGGAGAGCGTGGTGAAGGCCAAATCCAACACTGAGAAGATGTGTCGTACCATAGAAGACAACATGAATGAGTACAAGAGCAAATACGAGGAAGCTCAGCGAACTATCAATGACCTGACAACCCACAAGGCCAAAGTGCTCACTGAGAATGGTGAGCTGGGACGCCAGCTGGAGGAGAAGGAGTGTCTGATTTCACAACTGACCAGAGGGAAGAACTCATACAACCAGCAGGTGGAAGATCTACGAAGGCAACTGGACGAAGAAGTGAAGGCAAAGAACGCTCTCGCCCACGCTTTACAATCTGCTCGGCATGACTGCGATCTGCTCCGGGAACAATTTGAAGAGGAACAGGAGGCCAAGGCCGAACTGCAGAGAGCTCTGTCCAAGTCCAACACAGAAGTCTCAGCTTGGAGAAGTAAATATGAGACTGATGGGATCCAGCGAACAGAGGAGCTGGAAGAGGCAAAGAAGAAGCTGGTCCAAAGACTTCAAGAAGCTGAGGAGTCCATCGAGGCCGTGAATGCAAAGTGTTCATCCCTCGAGAAAACTAAACATCGCCTTCAGAATGAGATTGAAGACTTGATGCTGGATCTGGAGAGATCTAATGCTGCATCGGCAGCACTGGACAAAAAGCAGAGAAGCTTTGACAAAGTCCTGGCAGAGTGGAAGCAGAAGTTTGAGGAGTCACAGTGTGAACTGGAGGCCTCCCAGAAGGAAGCTCGGTCTCTGAGTACTGAACTCTTCAAGCTTAAGAATGCCTATGAAGAGTCGCTGGATCAGCTTGAGACGATGAAGAGAGAGAACAAGAACCTCCAGGAGGAGATTTCTGACCTCACCGAACAGCTTGGAGAAGGCGGCCGCAGCGCCCACGAGCTGGAGAAGATCCGTAAACAACTCGAGCAGGAAAAGGCTGAACTCCAGACAGCACTGGAAGAGGCAGAAGGTTCCCTGGAGCACGAAGAGAGCAAGATCCTTCGAGCACAGATGGAGTTCAATCAAGTGAAGGCTGACATGGAGCGCAAAATGGCCGAGAAGGACGAGGAGACGGAGCAGGCCAAGAGGAACTACCAACGGATGCTGGAGTCTCTTCAGTCCTCTCTGGATTCTGAGACCAGGAGCCGAAACGAGGCCTTGAGAGTCAAAAAGAAGATGGAGGGTGACCTGAATGAGATGGAGATCCAGTTGAGCCAAGCAAACAGGCAGGCAGCTGAGGCCCAGAAGCACGTCAAGACCCTCCAAGCGTTCCTGAAAGACGCACAGTTGCAGCTGGATGATACGCAGCACTGCAACGATGACCTGAGAGAAAACATCACCCTGCTGGAGCGCCGAAACAACCTGATCCAGGCAGAGCTGGAGGAGCTGAGGGCCGCCCTCGAACAGACGGAGAGAAGCCGGAAACTGGCAGAACAGGAACTGATCGATGTGACGGAGCGGATGCAGCTACTGCACTCTCAAAACACCAGCCTGATCAACCAGAAGAAGAAGCAAGAAGCAGACCTGCTCAACCTTCAAAACGAACTCGAGGAAAACATCCAGGAGAACCGCAACGCAGAGGAAAAGGCAAAGAAAGCAATAACAGACGCAGCCATGATGGCTGAGGAGCTCAAGAAGGAGCAGGACACCAGCGCCCACCTGGAGCGCATGAAGAAGAACATGGAGCAGACCATCAAAGACCTGCAGCATCGTCTGGATGAGGCCGAGCAGATCGCCATGAAGGGAGGCAAGAAGCAGCTCCAGAAACTGGAGGCTCGCATCAAGGAGCTGGAGAACGAGCTGGAGGCAGAGCAGAAGAGGGGAACGGAGTCCGTCAAGGGGGTCCGCAAGTTCGAGCGCCGCATCAAAGAGCTCACGTACCAGACCGAGGAGGACCGCAAGAACATGGCGCGCCTGCAGGACCTGGTGGACAAGCTGCAGCTGAAGGTCAAGTCCTACAAGCGCGCAGCTGAAGAGGCGGAGGAGGCAGCCAACGCCAACATGGCTAAACTCCGCAAGCTGCAGCACGAGCTGGAGGAGGTGGAGGAGAGGGCCGACATCGCCGAGTCGCAGGTGAACAAGCTGAGGGCCAAAACCAGGGACGGACCCTCCAAGAAGGGCCTGGAGGAGTGAGGAGACACCAGACCCCCTCCGTCACAGGTTAATGACCACGTTTTAATGTGCCGTGTAGCGCTTGGTGCAGCTGTTGAAAGTTTGGATTTGTAAAACTATTTTTGTTCTTTATTAATTTGTTCAAATCTGTTTTTATTTGCAGGTTTTTCTTGATGTTTGGAGCCAAACCTGCGGAAAATCTGACACCAAAAACCACTTGACCATCGTTCCAGCTAACAGACGCAGATAATCTCCCACGAAGAACTAAAGTAGTTTAAGAGTCTGTTTCTAAAACATCAGTGAGTCTGAATCATTTGTTTCCATTTCATTTATTATATTTCAGCTCTTTGAGTTCATTTTAAACGTTTAGGCTTCACAGACGCTCAACTGAACCGAGAAATATTCAAGAGTTCACTTGTGTTAGTTAAAAATCCTGCAAGTCTTTGAACAAGTTGTCACAAACTTTTTGTCAATTGTCAAAATCTTTTGAGCTTTATTCACGTCTGTGAAATTTCTGTTCTTAAACACAAATCAGGACTTTATGAAATCAGAAGTTTTCCAATGTTACTTTAGCATCTCTGATTTGTGATTTAATAAAGGTTTCGGTGTGAGATCGCTTCTTCTTTTTTGTCCTAGTGTTAAGTGCAATATTCATGTAAATTTTAAAGTATAAGGTTAAAGCAAAACAAATTATGGCTGTTTTAGCTGTAAATTCATATTTTAAAATCGTTCTAAATGATTACTGTAAAATGTAACATCTTTCTTTGTGAGTCTTGGTCATTATTGTGCAGGTAAAAATTATAATTATGAGATAAAGTCAAGATTATAGTTTAAAAATCATAATTAAAACAATGCCAAAGAGAAGATTTATGGATGCAGTAAGAGAGGACACGGAGGACAGAGTGAGACGGAGACGGAGGACAGAGTGAGACAGAGGACAGAGTGAGGCAGAGGACAGAGTGAGACAGAGACAGAGTGAGACAGGGGACAGAGTGAGGCAGAGGACAGAGTGAGACAGAGACAGAGTGAGACAGGGGACAGAGTGAGACAGAGACAGAGTGAGACAGAGGACAGAGTGAGGCAGAGGACAGAGTGAGACAGAGACAGAGTGAGACAGGGGACAGAGTGAGGCAGAGGACAGAGTGAGACAGAGACAGAGTGAGACAGGGGACAGAGTGAGGCGGAGGACAGAGTGAGATGGAGGACAGAGTGAGACAGAGTGAGACAGAGGACAGAGTGAGACAGAGGACAGAGTGAGACGGGGGAGATCCCTGAAGATGGAAGAGCTGAAAGAAGAACAGTTTTACATTTGAAGCTTCAAAACCATTTTCTGGCTTTAAAAATCATTTATAAAGATTTTAAAGTTATAACATGCATTTTAGTGACCGCCTTCTTTTTTTAAAGATATAATTCTATTTTAAAACTTTAACTGTGAATTTGAAAGTCACAAGTTTTATGGTCCTAATTATGAATTTGATTAATTTTGTTCTAAAATTTCAAAATATTGAGAAAGCCACAAAAAGTTTCAGATAACGTCATCACAAGTTTGAAGTTATAATAATTATTAAATATCAAGTTAAAGTCACGACTGAAACTCTTTAATTATGATCTTAAAACTCTGTTTAAATTGACCTTTTTTTTTTTTAATTGGCGGAAATGGACTTCCATACTCTTAATTTTAAAAAAGGTTTTATTTTGAAGGCGTGACAGGAGTTTCCGGTCCACGCACCCCGGGTTCGAGTCTGGTCCGGACCGAGTATAAAACCTGAAGTGGTCCAGGAGGACCAGATCCGGATGGAAGGACCGGGAGGAGGCAGCGCAGCTCCACCGGCCCGGCTCTGACAGACCCGCACATCCCGCACACCATGCGGGAGAACAGCTGGAGTCCGGGCTCCGGTCCTGCGGCTCGAACCGAACCCAGAGACAAGGCGAACCGGAAGTGGGTCAGACTCAGCACCGTGGTGGGCTACCTGCTGTCCGTGTCTCTGGCCGCCGTCATCCTGGGGGTTTACTATGGCCTCATCTGGACCCCCGGATCCCCCCGAAACTGGACCAGGACCGGGGACCACACCTGGACCCAAACTAGTCTGACCGGGCCCGACACCTGCTCTGGAGCTGCAAACCGTTTGATTGACAGAGATGAACTAATCAATCACAGTGAGAGTCACGTGACCAGCAGGGATCAAAGTAATCAGATTACTTCAGAAGAGCCTCCTAGGGAGACCCAGGGTACCCCGGTCCTCTCCACCAGGGTCTCGGAGCCCCCCCAGGCCGGCCAGGGCGTCACCTCCCCGGCTCCGAGCTCCGCCGGTCACCGCGGAGGATCCTCCGAGCCACCGACCCACAGGAGCGCGCGAGGCCGAGCCCCGGAGCCCGAGGCCCGGCAGGCAGAGGCGGACCGAGACGGGTCTGGGACGGAGGACGGAAACTTTTTATAAAAACTTTTTTTGTATAAAAATCATTATTAATTTTTAATCAGTGAAGATTAAACAAAAAATAAACGGTTCCGGCTTCATCACGGAGGTTTTCACTTTAACGACTTTATTAAATAATCTGTTAAAGTTGAGCTGAAAAATCATAAAAAGACAAAATTATTGATCTCTCAGGAATATTTCCCTCCAACAAGTTTAAAGAAGAGATTCAGGCTTTAGTTCAGTAAAAACCACAAAACAAGAATTAAACTTATATATTAGCAAAGCTAATATAATAATAATAATAATAATATCTCGATTAAAGGATAAAAGTGAGTGCAAATATCAAACGATGCAGGAAACCTAACATTTTAAATATCATTGATTTTTGTAGAATCTGGTTCAATAAATCAGATTTAACCGTGAACTAATGTTCATTAGCAGGACTTGTCTTAATTTAATATTTTAATAATCTGTTCTTTATTTACTGTAACAGAAACTAATCTTTCAGAATAAATTCTCAGTGTGTGACGTCAGAAACGTGTTTGATTTCACTTCATTTCTTGTTTTGTTGCCTCAAACACTTTCTTTGTCCTCTGAAGGACTTTAAAAGATCAAGACACGTCGGTCAGAGACACAAGTTCTGCTTTGACTCTGAAGGAGTTCTGATGGACATCCTGGACCCAAACTCCAGGTTCACACGTTTCATTTAGACAAAGACAGAACACACAGGTGGAAGGACGGGGAGACGACGGACAACATGGTTTGGACATGTCCAGAGGAGGGACAGCGGTTTGGACATGTCCAGAGGAGGGACGGCGGTTTGGACATGTCCAGAGGAGGGACGGCGGTTTGGACAGGTCCAGAGGAGGGACGGC